GCTCGAAGGTTGGCAGGAGAGAGCATGGAGCACCCCCATCCACCCCGCCGCCGGTAAGCAGGCACTGGCGCTCCCTCGCCCTAAACACCCTGAGCACCAAGCGCTCTGCAGGCGCAGCCGGGGCACCGACACCCCCCAGCGCCCGGCCGCCTTCCTCCGCAGACGGGGGGCTGGAGGCGTTCGACTGGTGCTGCCGGCGTGTGGGGAAGCCCCTGTTCTGCGCCAGGTTTGCTGAGAAGAGACCGAGGATCGGCTGCGAGGGATATATGCCGCCAACCAGGGCTCTACCCCCTCTGTGCCAGGGTACTGAGCGGGTGGCACAGCTGCACGCGGAGCCCATGCATTAACCACACTTTGCAGCATCCCGGTAGGGACTGCTGAGTCCAGTGCAGCACCAGCATTTGCTTTTCTTCCTCCCCCCAAAATGGCTCTGTCTCCTTTGGACCCCAGCTGGCGCCTTCGGGGACCCCCACATCACCACCCTGGATGGACTCACCTACACCTTCAATGGACTCGGCGACTTTGTCCTGCTGCTGGCCAGCGATGCCCAGACCCGCTTTGTGCTGCATGGGCGCACAGCCCAGACGGGCACAGCCCAGGCCACCAACTTTGTGGCCTTCGCTGCCCAGTACATCTCTGCCACCTCCACAACAGTGAGTAGGAGTGACCTGGGTACTAGTTTGAGCTTCTAACAGGAGAGACCCCTCTGGCAGGTTGGGCATCGCCTCTGCGTCACGTACAAGTGGCCAGGACCTGAGGAGGATCCCCTCTCCTCTTCCTGCCACCTCCCACAACCCCTACGAAGTGCTAATAGCGGTGGGTTGGACTAAGACTAATGAGACACAGCTCTAACACCTCTTGCAAGCTGGCCAGCAAGGTCCTGGAGCTCTGCAGGAACATGGTCTGCTCCACCCTCTTCATTGCACACCCTTCGCCCCGACCACCGGTCTCCTCCGGACACGTTAGCACAAGCATGTACTCTTCCTTGTTTTGCAGAATTGCTCCCCACACCCATTTCAGTAAGCTAAATCTCCTGGTGTCACCAGAAGCAGCTGTTGAGCAGCGTGAGGAGGGGGCTCAGAGCCTGGAGCCCACCAGCACAGCTCTCCACGCTGCCCCGGTCAGCCGAGCAGTGGTGGTGGCCTGTGCGTGCCCCATGCCAGCAGTGACGGGGGCAGCTTGCTGTCCTCTTCTGTGCAACCATCAAAGCTTCTTTGTCATGTGTTTGCTGGGGTGAAGAGCGCGCCAATACGGCTCCCGCGGCTGAGCCTCTCTGGCAGGGCTGGAGGAGGATGGGGTTTAGCTCAAGTGTCCCCAGCACAGGGGGATGGCAGGAAGGGACGAGCAAAGGGACTGAGTGGGACATCCACCATGATTTGCAGGTTGAGTGGACCTTGGGGAGCCAGGGTGACATACAAGTTCTCCTGAACGACGAAACCATCCAGTTTTCCTATTCCCAAGGTGAGCAGGATGTGCTGTTAAATGTTAAATGTATCTGGGGGGGGATGAGGGGTGTCCCCATCCCATGGGGACCAGCCCTGCCCAGCGCAAGGGCAGTCATCCTGAGCTCCATCAAACATCTCCCACCTGCGCCCTGTCTCTCACTCAGCTGGCATGGATGGGGAGCGCTCCCTTCCCCAAATTCAGGGGCATCGTTTCAGACCCCAGCCTTGCGTGGACTCTCCCTCTGTGCTCTCCTTCTCTTGCAGACATGGGTGCCGAGGTGTACTACAGCCCTGGTGTCCTGCTGGTCAATGCCTCCTCCGTCACAGCTGTCTTCGACGGGGCCATCGCCATCTCCATCTCGGCCACCTCTGGGATCCTCAGCGTTGTCTGCAGCCTGGCTGATCGGTACCGCAACAGCACCAAGGGCCTCCTGGGTGAGGACTTCTGGCACTGCTGCAGAGCCGGGGTGCAAAGTCCCCTTCCCACCCTAAAGCAGGCTGGAGAGTGCTGGGGGAATGTGTTTGTGACTCCTGGGTCTAAACTAAACACTGGCCAGCACCAGAGAGGAGGTCAACCCCGGCATGGGGGACGCCAGTCCTCTCGTGATGCTCCACCAGGTGTTTGGGACCACGACCCCGCAGATGACTTCCAGATGCCGAACGGTACCAGCATCCCTGTGAACAGCAGCGAGGAGGAGATCTACAGCTACGGGATGACCTGTAAGTCCAGGCTCAGGATCCACTTTGACGATTCCCCCATTCCTGCACCTTCTGGCCATGCTTTGGCTGGAAACATTTAGTTGCTTGCCTGAGCAAAAGTGATGCCAGGGAAGCCCTTTGGACTCCTCACTGCTCTGTGGAAATGAGCCCTAAAATATAATAAACTTTAAAAACTCAAGGCCATACCCATGGTGTTCTTTCTTGCAGGGGCTGTTGGAGACCACAGCCTGTTTGCTCAGCATCTGGACTCACCCGTAATGAACTTCACACCCATCTTCTTGTCTCGGCTGCGGCAGGAGAATGAAAGCCAGTACCAGCTGGCAGCCTCGCAGTGCCGCGGCAACAAGGAGTGCATCTACGATTCACTGAGCACAGGGGACGTGGCCCTGGGCCTGGCCACCCAGAGCCTCGCAGCCGACTTCCAGCAGAAGAAGACAGTACTCAGTAAGTGAAGCAGATCCTCACATCCAAGACAACATGGTTTGGCCATGCTCCCTCCCTGGCTTTCTTGCTCCATGTGAGGCAGGAGAGAAGTCGCCAAGGTCTTGGAGTTGCATTGACTAGCTGGCTGGTCTCCAAGCCTGGGAGATGCCACCATGCTGTGCAACACGAGGGTCTTGTCGGTGGGCGGTCATGGCAGCATCTACCTGGGGTCCCATCCTCACCAGGAGGGACTCAGAGCCGAGGGGTGCCAAGGCCACGTAGCAAACAACCAGCTGTGTGCTGGGCTGCTCTTTCCTCAGACGCCTTCCCTCCCGTCATCACCGGTGACGCGTCACTCACGGCCTTCAGGACAGAAAGGGTCAGGAGGCAGTACCGTGCCATGGGGGTGGGCGCACGCTTTGTCCCCCACCTCTCGCCAGAGCTCAACATATCAGGTAAGGAAGGAGAGATGGGGCAGCTGGGATGGGATGGGGGGACATCGGCCACCCAGCCCCTTTCCTTTGTCACCTCCTCTAACTCCCACCTCTCCTCCTGGCAGAGAGCGGCACCCTGACGTGGGAGCCCCACAGGATGGCCCCGCTCACCATCAACCAAAAAAAAAATGGTGCAGCTGGGAGGGGATGGGGGGACACCGGCCACCCAGCCCCTTTCCTCTGTCACCTCCTCTAACTCCCACCTCTCCTCCTGGCAGAGAGCGGCACCCTGACGTGGGAGCCCCACAGGATGGCCCCGCTCACCATCAACCTGGAGGCTGTTGGGTCCAACAACCTCTCCGCCCTCCTCCAGCTCCGCTTCACCCTTTGCAGCTG